TATTTCGTGAAATTTTTTTTCGAAAAAATCAAGCAGATTTGTTTATCGCTGATGTCAATTTTTTTCTCGCTAATTTCAATTAATTCTAATCAATTGAATGTGAAAACTAAGATCCTTAACGTATACATTTTTATTGCAAATTGTAAAAAATTTAATTATAGAATTTGAATTTAATTTATGTATCATAAAATTTAACACTTTTTCTATCTCGCTTGCCGTGTAATAAGATTATAAAAATAAACTTAGTGAAGTTTATCATTAAAATAAATAATTCGTAAAGTTAAATTGTTCTAAGTAGATGCGTGTGAATCATTATACTACCAGTATCTATTTGCGTCAGTGATTTGCGTCATTATTTATGATAAGATATGAGTTATCCATATTTAGTAATCATCTCATTAGCTTCATCGTTTGGATCGATACTGAGATTGCTATACATATTATAATATATATAGGATGTACATAATAGGCACATCTTTCGGAAAATATACAGAATATTCATAAAAAGAGTATTATTGCAATAACAAATCAGATCAAAAAGTTCTTTGCCACATTTTTTTCTTTTACAATTGAGATATTATCGAGTTAAAGATTGAAAAAAAGCAATAATATTTATGTTAGAAATTTAAAAATTATTAACTAAATAAAATAACATATTAGACAAGAAGTAAAAAAGATTTTCAATTTCATAAACAACAACATCCGGCCGACATAATAAAATAATGCTAACTAATGTCAGAAGAAATAAAAAAATAACACGCACATGACCCTTTTTGGCTAACAGAATACAAACTTAACTAACGCTCAAGGAAAATATACACGCGATGGTGCCAGCGAGTAAAATCCTCTTAGATAAAGATAAAAAACTAACATTAAACAACCCGAAAATTGTTAACAATCCGAATGTTGTAATCACAAAAACTTTCTCGATTCGTTGTTGACTGAGCAACCGTTCCATACACGATATATCACTCACTAATTCAAGATATCTTTTCATTTTGTCATTTTTCTCGTAAGAATTTGGAATCGCAAAGCCTCGAAGGACGAAAACAACAAGAATAAAATATAATATCGTGAATTTTTGCCAATTGTATTGCTCTCTCTCTCTCTCTCTCTCTCTCTCTCTCCCTCTCTTATACATTTTGAAAGAAACTGAACGTCTACTTCTATATATGATGAAATGTCTTTTCATCATTTATCTTATACTAAAGAATACCTCTGTCAAGAGAACAAATTTCATCTAAAACATTCTTCGACTGTTAGGTTCGGAAAAAATAATAATTTATCAAATAGCAAGTTTACATTATTAATAATATTCGTTCTGATAATTCTCCACCAATTCTGTTTGTCTTAAAATTGCATGGAAATATTAAAACAAAAAAGCCTGCATTTGCACGCATGTATGTATAATGGATTAAACATATGTTAATATAAACTTTCTGCTAAAGAATTAATTGCATCGCAGGTTTGCAAGAGTAGCATTTCGCGAATTTTGTCTACGCATTGATATAGCGCTCGCTATTAACATGCAATTTTCAAAGTTTTATTTACCATATAATATCCAATCGTATTTCTGTTAATATAAATTTTAACGCAAATATGTTTATCTGTTATTGCAAAAATATTTCATTTGTAAAATAACAAACAAACAGAATTACGCACGAAAATTATGATTGTATTATTTTATCGACACACAGTCTTGCAAAATATTAACGTAATGTTTATTATTAAATTCCTCTCAAATAGCGGGTTTGTATTATTAATATTCGTTCTGATAATTATCCACCGATTCTGTTTGCTTAAAATCTTGATTATTGGCCAAAATTCGAAACGCGGTATTTAAAATACAAAACGCTCAAACGGCGATTTTTTTGTTCAGCAGAAATGTAAGTTATTGCAGCGTTAACGAGCCGAACACTTTGAATACGAGGAGACACAATGCATAAAGCTTTGAAACTTATTGTCGTGACAAGTGTGTATATGCGGCGACATGCGAATAGCGGAACTTTTTAGCGAGTTTGAAATTTGCTTTAAAAGTGTGCCGATGTCGCACACGTCCAAACATTGTGACGCTGTTGCAGCGATTTGGAATATCTAGATACGGTCCGAGTATCACCGTGTAACTGGAAGTTGGAAACCGTCCGAGATATTGACTCGTGCTTATTTTCATCCGTTTGTGCACCTATCTCCTTTATGATGTTTAAATTCCCATGCGTCTTTAAAGCGACTTTCAAGTCAAGCATTACATTCTGCTCTAGTTATTGCTAGCATTTCACATTATATTTATACGTAATAAGAGAGTATAACTTAGCACAAACTATATTTACTTACAGCATCTTGAATTGTCGTTTTCAGAATTATGAAAATAGCAAAAGTATCTCTAAAGAGTGCAGGCTTTTGCGAGAAACATTCAATTGATATTTGAAAGCCCGAATTGCTGAGAAAATAATGGACTTATTCGTAGTGGCTTGTTAAGAAGGCTTGGATAAAAGTACCTCGCTTCACGGTACTTTTACACGCATCGCACGCACACGCACGCACACAGCTTGAATGTCGAAAAATCAATAGAATAGAAATTTTATCGCTGCTCGAACCATGCTATGGTGGAAGTTATGATGGAGCAAATACTAGCTGATACAAATAGTCAATAATATAAAAAGCAAAAAGAGCCAGAGCTGGATTTTAGTGCTCGAAATTTTTAATTAAACTTTAAAGTTCACAGATAGTTTCGGCACATGAATTTCGGTCATCGTCATACAACTCGCAAAGCCTATATAAATAAATCTGTACAGATCTATTCAAAACAAGCAATTATAAATTATATGCAAGTCTTCATGTAAATGTCACAAACTCTGATGCAAATTCAACTTGGTTACACGTGAACGCATCTTGTCAATCTGAAACTACGGTGGATGAGAGGCGTCGTAAATATTAATCGATTCTAAAATAAAAACTAAAAAAATAAAGAAAACCAAGCTGTTTATAATCGTGAATAGAATTATATTAATACCGGAACTATAAAAACTGAGCTTAATTTATCAGAGATGTCTTTCAACGGATGTTGAAAAAAAATATACATTTTTTTGAAAAATGTATTAAAAGTAGCTTTCTTCTTGGATAAAGCGATAACATAAAACTGTATTTGAAACAGAAGTAATTTATAACTGTGCTATTTTGATAGCGATATTGAGCGTGTAACATTTTTCAATGGAATCTAGATAGCAGAATATTCGTGTGAGAAATATGCAGCTCAAAACAAAAATATACAGCTTCGAAAACAGAATCGATTCGTATGGCGCCAATGTTGGATTAATATTCTACGCTTTGCCAGTGAACGTGGTAAAACGCAAGGTCTTATCAGGTGTTCGTGTTGCGAGGGGTTGTCTAACTGTCTGCAAGGTAAGTACTATATACGCGGTATAACAATCGAACGAAAAATATGATGTAGAACATGTTTTACTTTGCAAGAAGGAATACAAGTAAAATTGCGAAGAAATTAGAAAATAATAGAGCGAGGAGTGGATGTTAAAAGAGGCTAAAAAAAGATGAAGAATTACAAAATAAAAAAGCACGGAAATAGATAAATAAGAAGTGGAATAAATTAGGAGAAGAGAAAATCTTTATCAACAAATCCAATTATGCTGTATAATGAATTGAATAAATTAAATATGTAATTTTTCCCGGCGAGGACGTCAGCGGGATGAGCTCTCGGTATCGCAAGAAAAAATAGTACGATGCCGATACTTGTTAAAGAACGCAACTTTAACTGTAATTCGTTTAAGAAGACGACGCTGGCGATCCGTCGCCTACTTTTCGTAATTAGATTCCTTGTAACTCGTAAGACCCAAGTTTATATCGCTGCCGGTACAACTCAACCCACGAAAGTTAGGTGTTAACTAAGTTGTAAATTGCAAGATATAGGATACCATAAAGACAGAGGGAAGATTCAATATGGGCGAATGTTTGAAATAGAATGTAGACAACCAAGTCCTTGCAGGAATGTCATGCTGCACGTCAATACACAAATTTACAAGAATAATCTTGAAAAAAAAAATAATCTCGCGATTTTCGCAAATCGGGCAATATTGCTGCATCCCACTAATGAAGTCTAATGAAAATCTACTTAATTTCGACACAGTCTAATTGTTCTTCGAATCTAAAATATAAAATCCTAATTAACAGACATTTTGCACTTTGAGAAAATTGAGACTTTGGATTCAATCATGCGTCTAACAGCTGCAGCGCGTGCATTATAATCACGATGTTATATCGCTTGGCCATACCATCGACGCCGACATCCTATGCGTCTCGCATCATTAATATCTCCGCAGTTAATGCCGATGCACGCATCGAGGCGTTAAGAGAAACTGTGCGACATTAGCATTAAGTGCGCGATTAGGTAAATGATGAATCTCGACGGAAACACAAAACTGAACGGGATTTATTCTACTGTATTCTATTGTTATTCTGTTATAACACGAAGAAGAAATCTACGCGTCAAAAATTTTATCCTCTATATCTTTTCCTTCTTATCAAGAATTCTATTAATGGACAAATAAGAAAGTAACAGATTTTGAAATAAATTCCTCGGTATCCCTAGCAACATGTAAAAAAGATTGAGGGAAACGCACCCTTCGCATGAGGGGATCAATGTTAATCAAACGTAGCAAAGACCCTGGCATGACCCTCAATGCCGTCGTCCGTTATTTTTCTCTTTTACAAGTTACAAAGCAAAATTTTTCCATAATTCTTATAAAGATTATAACGCGGACTATTCGATATTAGCAATAACTGTTTGTTAATTTGTTTCTATTACAAATGACACAATAATGTAAAGTTTAAATATTTTGCAACAAATTAATTCGGTTTGTCCACAGTAACGTTTGCAAAAAAAAACAAATTAATTCGTCTTCTTTAATTAACAAATTCATGCATATTCAAAGATGTAAATATACGCGGGAGAGTAATAAAAGGCGAGAGTAGCGAGCAAAAAAACTTACGTGTTCCATCGAAACGAGTCGCGATAGTATCCAGGAAAGTATTTTGCGGAGCGAGGAGGCCTTTCCGAACCGGCATTGTGGTCGTCCCGCCGCACGAGAACCTGCAAATGCATAAAAATCGTTGTAATAAAATTATTTATCAAGCTAGATCAACATGTTAGTACGTGAAAAGCATTTCACAGCAATCTCCATACGTTTCAGCAAAATTCTCATGTTACCCGTCCGCATTAAATTTCATCGTCATACGCAACATTGTACATATTTACGGAAATATACGATTCAGTTGAAAACTCCGTAAGTCACCGTCATTCTCCATTATCAAAGAAAATGCCATTGCAATACACGTTGTCCGTCCTCTCGCTTCGATACGAGATATTTTCTGCAACTAATTTAATTGCTTCTATTTCCCCGTAGTCGGGAAATCATTGGCCGTGCGCGAGAAACCGGGTTATACTACTGTGTCTTACGTATCTCGCAAATGTGTGTATGCAAATTGTGTTTCAAACGTGCTTTCGGACATTCGTGTATTTAAGACATTAATTACAAATTTCATTAAGATAGAAAAACTATCTGTGCGCTTATTCGCGGAGCGAATTTCATATATAATAAAAAATGAATCAAAATTAGATACGATTATTATAATAATTTTTACGTATTTATGTAATTCAATGGAGTATTATAAATTGTACGTATTTATTAAAATGCTGTCTATATTTACGAATATTTTTAAAATTCTTATATATCAATTATCGACTATAAAAATTATATATAATCTGAACACTTCATATATGCTTAATATAAATTATTCTAGTCTCACTTGTACATATATACGCAACGCTCTCTTTAATGCTTTCAGAACGCACGAGTTCCATATAGCTTTACAATTTTTCGCTTTCAATGCGGAAACGTGATACAGATTTTCCGTCTTTAGCGATATTAATAAAAAGTTGTTTGCATTTTTCATAAAAGATTTTATCCTTTGGAAAGGATAAATTTATTAACTATGTATAAGAAATCTTTCTTGAATATAAGAGATAGATAATACAAGATTATGTAATATTATTAATTTTTTTTATCGTAATTGAAAAGATTATACAAAAATTGTTGTTAATTTGAAGATAACCAAAATTTTGTTAAATCGACTTAATCAAATCGATAAACCGATCTGTAATTAATATATTTTTCACATAAGTTGCATATGTTAAATCAAGATATTTATTTATTTAAATAATTAGATTAACACATTAAATTTATTAAAATAAATTAATGTACAAATTATGGAAACTGTCTAATATGCAAATTTGCAATATGCATAATACGTTTATGATAGATTGTATTAGATAATTAATGTCAATTATATTCGTACATTAAATACGCTATTTATAAAGTTTTAAATTTTTCATGAGTAAAAAAGTTCTGATATTTTTAATCTAAAAAAGGATTAAAAAGTTTCTGTATTTTTTGAGATACATTTTGAGATATTTTCGGAAAATAATGTCTGAAATAAATTGCATTGCATTATACATAATAATTTTAAAAAGAATTTAAAGTATTTAAATTGCTTATAATAAAGCAATGCTGTTTTATTTTTTAATGGTTGAAGTATTAAATTTTTTATATGACTCGAATGATTGAATGAATATAAGACGAAAGAGCAAGCTACGAAGTCAACGGCAGGTGTTCGTGCCAGTTATATCTGTATTATATCTAAACAAATATTTACAAAGGTTTCGGTCAGTTATGAGAGTGACTACAAAGGCAAAACAAATCAAATTTAAAGATTCGGCTACACAATTCATATGATATAAACAATATAAAAATTAGAACGTATAATTTTTCATTATAACAGTTAGCAGTTTTTCTAACAGATTGTATTAAAAATTTGTAAAAGGAAAAATTTGTTTAAAAAAGTTATGTATGATATTTTTTTATTATCAATTAAGTCTTCTGTTATATTCAATAGATTATATAACCATGTAAAAATTAATGAATTAAATTTGCCATAAGTTTGCCAATGCCACAGTTGCTAATAATTAAACAACAAATAATCTCTTAAAATTCTCTTTGTATTTGTAAAAGGCTTTCGACTTATATCGAAATTGATAATGTATATTTTTGATTCCGTTACTCTTCGAGACATGCATGATTGCAGATAACTTTGAAAGACTTCCCGATAGTACTAACCGTGTCGATCGCTTATATCACTGATCCCTCTCCACTGTCCTTTCGCTCCGGGATTAAGGGCCGATCACGTTCATTCGTCAGTTCGGTGCATTCGATGCAGCACTGGATCGACACCGTGATGATGAGAAACTCGGGGCGCGCACCGACCGCGCGAATTGTTCGCTGGTGATCGCGTAACTGACCGAGCCGAGGGGAGAGATCCCCCTTATCCTGATGGCCCGGGCTCCTGGCTGACTTGCGCCCCTCGTACTGAAGCGCAACATGTGGTAAGCCGTGGAAAGTAACAGACACATGCGTCCTAGGCTATGTAGGTGAAAGCACGAGCGTGTTCCTTCGATAAGCGTACACCCCGCGACGCCCTTGCCATATCACCCAACAGCGCTGTGCCACCGTGGGGTTGTGCGAACGTGCGCGCGCGCGCGGACGTGACCCGTTGTACACGCGCGCGCATGTGTATCTAAAAAAATCTGATACAATCATTACACATTATTCATAAGCCAGAAATGCGATAAGATTTGTTTTCAATAATTCTTTCAGTTTATTGAGCGTCAAATATTTGTGGCTACGCGTTGACATAATTGTCACGACACGCGCATTTTTTTCGTATCGTGGATAGATATTTAATAATTTGCAAACAGAACTGTTTTTATGCAATGTAGTGGTAATTAGTTCTTTTAAATAAACAAATATTTTTTAATTTTTTTTAATTTTATCGCTAAGTTAAAACAAATTCTTGTTAATAAATCACCACTAATTTTCTTCAACACAATGTAACACAATGTCACATCCGTTATTTCGTTCACGTTGATGCGATTAAAGCAGTTATTATATATCTAATTGGAAACGTTTCTGATCGGAATGTGTAATTCCTTTTTCTTCCTTGTGTGATTCTTTCAGCAATTTCTCTAAATAAGATAATAAGATATCTAGAAAAAAACGGAATCTTATTCCGATTAGAAACGTTTTCATACATAATAACTGCTCTAGTCAAATATTTTCGCTTATTCCATAAAAGAATACATTTGTTGGCAAATATATTTTCTCCAACGTTTTACGACACAATGCTTTGACGCGCGATTCTAAATTTATTTTATTTCTCAAGGTAAAACGCGTGTTGAAGAAAATATATTTCTCCGTAGTTGAAAAAATCGAATTTTTTAGATGTTTCTTGAAAAGTTAAATTTTAAAATTTTATATGCAAAACAATGGCAAAAAATAGCATACCTTGGAACGTAAATAATATTTAGAGCAAAAGTAAGTTGACTTTTTCATAGATAGGCAAGTATTGTGCACCAGGCCGTGCCGCATTGAGGTCTATATTGAATAAAACGTTGCTGTAGGTCAGTTTGATAGTATTGTATAACGCGCTTATACTGAAGAGGGTCGATGACTGTATTCGCGTGCTAGTCCTTCATGAACAGACCGCGGCAATCTGCAAGCGCTCCCGATATAGATCTTGGTCGCAAAAAATTCATAGGATGAACTCGATTTTAACCTGCAACTCAGTTATTTTAATCTATTATTAACATACAAAATTCTTAGCTACGATCAAGATTTCATACTGCAACGAAAGCTGCTGTATTTAAAGAAGGCGAATTTAATGATAGTAAAAGGTAATTAATAATTAATATCTTATTTTATTAAATTGCGTCAAGGCCATTCGATATGAAATTCTAGAATTATATAAATTCTTACTGATGAGACTGAAGGTAGATCAAGGAGTTAACGATATCGTACCGTATGATATTTGTTGCCGAAAACGGAATCAGGACATTCGGGCTAATCAAGAATGATGACAGTGGTCGACAACGTGTTGTTACCCTTAGAAATGGATGTTTGTTCTATCAGATCGTTGCTTTTTACGTCGTTCGCAGGTAAAATAATGCATCGCCAGACGCCAAATGTTGAGTAGAATTTTTAAGAAGCGACCTCTACGCTTAGCTATATAACTGCGATCTAAGAATATCGCCTATATTCACGATTATAAAGCTGCGACCTAATTTAAAAATTGCGTTTTCGAAATGCTGTCAGTAATATCGGCACGCGGTTAAGTTTGGTGTCTCTGTATTTTACAGAAGGATTACGCGATAATGTAAACACAATTTTTTACTTCGCAGTAATTTTACTCTATCCACTTTGTTCTTGTCCTTTTAATACTTTTTATACTTCAGTACTTTTCCCAAACATTTGAAATTAAAAGTTCTTACAATAGTGCGATAAAGTATCGATTCAATATTATTAAAATTTCATAAAAATAAAATTTTCTTTAATAGTAAATTATTTTAACACATTCAGCTAAAAAAATTTATTTATAATAGCACTTGAAACTCATTCTTCCTGATATAAGTTTAATTAAAATTATAATAGGTATATAAAAAGACAATTCTTTTTTCAAACAAATATTGGACACATATTTTAGCAGCTGCAAAAAAATTAATATAATTAATAAAATGGTTTATTTGAACAGAAGAGAGTAAATAGTGTGTAGTTGTAGAAACATAGAATCTCCTTGTATAATTGATAATTCCATTATTTTCGAAAGAACATTTCTGATAGAAGTGAAAACAAGAAAGCAAAAATAAGAAGCACGACATGCCCGTTACACTGTTTCATAGTGAATGGATAAAAAGTCATTAGAACAAACGCTTGCGATCTTAATGAGTTTTATACCTTGTTTTATTCGTAGTCTTAATTATTTTCTCTGTTTTTATATGATTGCTTGCGCCTGCTTCGCTCGCAATAACCTTTTTGTATACTTTTTGCTATATTTTCTGCAGTTTTATCATGAATTCTATTTATGGAACAATTTTATACGTTAGAATTTTTATTTTAGTGCTTATTTAATAATTATTATTAATAAAATGCTCCTGGAAAAATACTGATCGACGAAAATTATGATTATGGTAAATATAGCTCAGATCTTTTCTGTTAAAAAACATGTTTTTTTGAAACAAAAACTCTTTTAAATGTAAGATTTTGCCACGTGTGATAGGATATGTGTGCCGTAAATTTCAAGCTGTCAAGGCGGTAATACGAACAGATACGCTGGAACCTCATACATTATTCAAGCGAAAAACAGAGAGTAAAAGAAAAGGCAGTATATAGATGTGGAAAATCTCGAATAATAGAGTTGCGTTGCAAACTCACCGATAATCGCGTTATTCGTCTATAAAATTATATCATACATATTAATATAAGCACCTTTGCAAGTGATATAAAGCAAAAATCTGTCGGTATACAATTGCACATTGACCTATAATCATAAATCGGCAAATTGTAAATTTCGTGGATGTATTTAAATTCCATTAAAATTAATAGTTTCTGCGAAATAGGTTCATTAAATGAATATATCCACGCGCGGCGTTGAAATTGTTTCACACCGCCTGAATGGATTATAAAATTAGTCGCTAATTGCGACTCAACTAACGTGAATAGACTGAATAGAAATTACCATGCAAGAATATTTTGATTCAGAATTTACAGCGTTAAAAAAAAACAATCTAATCTTTCTCTATTCTTGAAAAAAAAACCGCTTTCGGCTGAAAAATCGTTTTATCGCTCCTCGTTATCATAGCTTTTACTGCAAAATAGCATGTTAGAGATAAGACGGTAACGATCGTTGGCCATCGGTCTTTATCTTCGTTAGCGGAATCCATCGATATTGCCGTGTGCCCAATCTCGAAACCGTGTTACGCGGGCTGACGACGAACGCCGTGTCCTTAATATCGCCACCTCGTTCCACCTGTGTTCGCGAATGGTGCCAGGTGCAATGACTGGCCGAGCAACATTAAACGCTGTCGGCTGCCGCATTGCCGATGTCGTGCCGGCCGTAACCGCGGCACGCGGGTACGTGCATTTTCTCTCCCCCTGTCTCCCTCTGCCACTCTCTCTCGTGCACCCTCGCCGGTACAGGCCACCGACTTTCTGAATGTTAAGGGGTGCGACGACTTATCGACCTGATGCCAGTCAGGCCTACCACCCTTCATCCCTTGCTGTTCCGATAACAATTTGAAAATCGGTCCGCTTTTGTTATTGCTCATTACCTTCCTCAACATCACGCAATATCCTTCCAGTTCGAGCCGCGCTCGAAACATATGGATAGCTACATAAACATTATTTAATTGTAATGAAAAAATCTCTTATTGTTAGGACAATTTTTGATAAAAATTATGTAGAACTGCAAATCACGCAAGGAATCGATCAGTAGAGATAGTTGACTTTTTTTCATTATCAGAACTGATAGATTATCAATGCTTGATTCAATCGTTCAGAATTTACTAAAGGAAGAATTTAGTAATTGAGTTTCCAATTAAGTTAAATAGAGCAATTTGTAATTAAATATGATAAATTAAAAAATCTGCATATAATTCAAAATATCACCTCAGATTTATAAAGTGTAACAAAAATTTCTTAGAGTCATCTTTCTCGTTGTTTTCCTGCTATCACATAACAATGTGCAATCTAGTTATAGCAAACCGTAGCGACAACGATAAACCAATGGAATTGCGATTGCGTGAATTTAGAACACCGCATTCTCGTGGATCACCCCGTTGAGCCCCTTTCCTAATGGGACACCAATAGAAATAATATAGGGAACTACCGCGATGCAGTTAAAGGGATACATATAGGTAGACTGGAGTTTAACGACCTTACAGCCGCGCAACTAACAAGATCGATGGTTTCAAATTCAATGGAGAAGGGAGAGGACCTTGTTACGTTATATTTTTCGATTATTGTGCTGCCATCTTCTTAGAATTCCTATTAAAATATATGTTGTAAATTAAATAAAAAAAGTATTTCTAGAATGTTGCAAAATAAGTAAAAGTAAGTTTATTTCATTACCTGTATATTTTGTATTTTACCTCACATATTAACATATATGATTACTGCAGTAAGAATCAATCATTTATTCCATTTCCAAGTAAATCAATCCAGTAATTTATATGATTTAAATTTGATTAGACGTAATTAAAAAGATTAAAAACGCTACGACATCATACACGACATCGTCATTATTAATGCACTTTATTCATTCGGCCATTTTTTCAAATTGGCATAATTTATATATTAATCAAAAATCTACTCGATTCAAGTTAATTTAATTTCAACACTACGCCTATAATTCATTTCGATCAATTATTTAAAAATTAGCAATTTCAATTTGTTCCTAATGCTTGATTAACATCCCTATGCTAAAACAAGATGCAAGAAACTTAATTTTCCGCTATATATTATGTATCTTTGTTACCATCTAAGCAATTTTTTCATACTAAACTTTAAAATAATTAGTTTTATATACAATTTCAGCATTGAACTAGACCAAAAAATTATATCAAGTTATCAAAAAGTAGCAATAACGTGCTCAATCTTGTGCACGTCTATCACATTATACATAAATACCTTGTTACCTCGTAGTATATTTAAATCTACATATCCAGGTCGAATATCAGATCATTTTTAAATTCCAATTGAACTGTATCTGTGATGACTGTACTCGAAATTTCATCGACTTGAACATTTTCGGTGGGGTTTTCCTCGAAGCTAGATTTACGCTTATGCAAAACATGTTTGTCATCTGCGTTTGACTTTGCAATTTCGATATTAGCCGTTTTCTGTTGCTGCAAATATTTATCGCGGGCAAGTATAGGTTTTACATTCTCCGAAGTCTCCTCGTTCGGGGCACGTTTGTAATGCATTTTGTATTTGTCTCGCTCTTCGGTTTCGGAGTTCTCGCTTTCACTCATTCGGCGTTCATGCGCACGTTTCTTATTTCGCAGTTTGCGTTGATTCTTCTTTCGCTGTCCAAGAATACTCGAATTGGATCTAAAAAAATAATAATCAAATTACGCGACCGTGTTTATTGGTGTAACTGAAAATAATAAAATAATAACAGATTGCTCTGTATCGTAATACCTGAATAACTGTCGCGAGACTACATCGTTAAATCGCACAGTCTTTTTTAAACTGCAGCAGTCAGATTCAGAATTAACATCATGTATGGAATCGTAATGATAATCCGTGCACGATGCAGGAAGGCTGTTTTCATCGGCGCTCGATTCGGACATGGAACGCGAAAAATTACGGGAACGCTGTGATTTTAATATCCCTTTCGAATGCCTCGTGCAGCTACTGTTGCTTGCCAATTCGTCTCCACTGCTTTCCGAAACCGATCTAGCTTTTTCGATGATGCGCTCCGTCTTTTGTCTCAATGTAATTCTTACATCTTCCTGTTCTTCTTCATCATGTTCTTCATCATCATCGGAATCTTGCTGACTTGATCGAATATCTATAACAACACTATTGCCTTGTGGTTGTACAGAAATTTGTCTTTCCATTTGTGACTCGTCTTCTGGAGACATCTGCAAAAATATTTTATTCGTCAGAAAGAACGTAGCTATTCTAGATTTTTACAAGTATATAATACACTTAATGTCTTACCATTAATTCCTTGAATTTGCTTGTAAATGAAGCTACTGTAGGAAGATCCCTGCCTTCCATAAATTCTGTGTCCACTCCAATAAAATATTGTGTTATATTCTCAATATCCTTCACTGTGACGCTAAACACGACGTTATTGTCCCATGGTTCAATTGTAAGAGTTTCTGGTTTGATATAACCATCTCCTATTTTAAGACACAATGAATAATATTGTGGAAAAAATCCAGCACCCACAGACGTTAGCAAGATATGTATTCCTGCATTATTATCTAGAATTTTGTGACGTATTGTTTCGGAATTAACATTTTTTACATTTATAGTAACGGCTAATTGATTATTGTAAATATTACAAGCATATGCAGGAAGATTGTATTTAATACTAGGAATCATAAATGCATCAATTTCTGCCATATTACTAGTCCGTAAGGCAGTATCTTCGCACTCATCTGTAACTTCACTCACTTCATCAAATTCTATATTTTTGCACGCACTTACACATTCTTTCACCAACTCTATTTTATTACTTGATAATTCTTCTTCGTCATCTTTGGATGCTATCGATACAGGACTCTGATCGGTCAGTCTGTCAGTCTCGCTATTCACCCTGTAGGTGCTCTCCATTGATATTGGTGGCCGAATGACTGGCAAAGTCACAATTAATTTCTTACATTTTGTATCAAATTTAGCATATCCATTATCGCTGTCCACAAGATATGGTAATGAAAGCTCCAATAAGTATTTTGCAGGCGTCTCGCTTTTCAGAGTGAAAGACTGCTCATGTATATCTAGTTTTGCATTATCAGCTGATTTCAATAAAGGCAGATCTATGATAACCACCAATTTTTTAGGCATTGCGGCATACATCTTTGCATCCCTGCTTAAAAGAAAATCTTCCATCTCTAAATCAGACTGATGTTTTATGGAAAATTTAGGAGTGACATATCTCTCATCTATAAACTCTTGCTGCTTGCTTTTATAATAAGTGGTAACTGGTGGAATACGTTGTGGTTTCTCCTCTTTTTGCTTTAAATGCTTTTCGCGACTTTCATCATAACTTGACATTAGTTTTTGATAGATATCTGGTTGTATATCCAGTGGTTCCTTCCATGGTTCTTTCATCGATTTTCTAATCACTGTGGGATGGCACATCCCTTTAAAATTGATCTTGGGAAACTTGAGATTTTTTCTATCCAATTTCACCTGGAAAAATACACAAAAAGCACAATAATCAGTGAGTTAATTCAAGTTTTAAAAATATAATGCAATTTTATACAAACCTTGAAATTATTTTCCACGCCGTCCATCGCTGTGTTATTAACAATTTCGCGGAATCGCGCATTCTTAGATGCCAAATAAATGGTGTCTGGATGGAAGACTACGTCAAATACAGTGCATCGCACGTTCCTCTTGTCAAGGTCATCGCGAGGTGGTATCAGCGTATACGGAATGGACCACTGTAGACCACGGTGGCCTTGCTCGTAGGAAGGCTGACTGGTTGGTCGCGCGACGATATCGTTCTTGCTAATATTCAGGAAACACTTTCTGTCACCATTCACGCTGGTCTTTATGACGTAACCGGGTTCGGGGTTAACGAACGTTACGTCTACGCCCCGTTCCTTCTCGAGCTGAGTGATCTCTTCTTCGTAGAGCTTCCTGTTGTCCGGGTCCGACACTTCTTCCGCGTATTCGATCAGCAATTTACGAAACTCCTCTTTCTTCAGACACTCAGTTATATTCTTCAATTCCTCTCGCGATACATCTAAATCCTCCCAATCTTTCTTACGGGACTCGTATACGTCCATTTTACGTTACGCGTGTTTACAAATAGACCCGTCGGTAGACAGATCAAGAAGAGCGCATAACACATGAATCGTCGCGCCACCTCGCCGGCCGGTCTAGGCACCGATAGGGCTGTCTATTGCGCTATTTAATTTGTGCGATATTTTAGCGCAAAGGATTGCTAAGAATTTTTCATACCTTTTTACTACCTTCTGTCACAGATTCAAATCAAATTCTGTTACGTGGTTATATGAAAGATTTTACTCGAAACTTTATGGTAATTTTGATGATTCGTACACTCCGATTTACCGTAAATTAAATTTCTAAAATGCAGACGAGTTGGGTAAAAATATATTCTTGCGTTCTTAAAAATTATATATTAAAAGAGATGAAAGAGAAAAGTGAGGAAGAGATAAAAAAATAACGATATTGCTCTGACATGATTTAAATACGAAAAAGGAAAAAAGAGGAATGTGGTTTGTCGTGCATCACTTTTGTGGATAGAAATCGCGTTGTAAATACATTTTTGTTGATTTTTGTTGATTTAAATAAACATTAATGCATACATTTTAATATGACATCATTTGCATACGAGCAGATATTTCTATTATTTTATTAGACACTGAGTGACAAGTACAAACAGTTTTACGCAGAAAATAGAATATCTGTTATTTTGGTTTTTATGTTGCACATGTTTTCCTTCAGAGAACCAAATGGCACGTAAGCGTAGGCGACTTAAAGCAAATGTTATTCGATAGTATGCTCTTGTTGATATACTGAATTATATGGAAGAGTCGTTAAACGCACTTGCAATCGTTTCTTAAATTTTGCAAAAAGTATTACTGGTATTCATGAGTTTTATAAATATTTATATAAATATTTTCCATCTTATTTGTGTAATATACTTCATACTTTTCATATAGAATAAAGAGAAATATCTGTTCACTTCTTAGTGAAAAATAAAACGTACATTAAAGATAAAAGTACCTACACATGAAAAGAGATCATTTTCATTTTGCATCGAAATAATACTTAAGAAATTAGATATTTCTTTATCATAAAATTATACTCAAATTATAGATTCTAAATGTAAAAAAGAAACAAGAACGCATTTAAAAAAATAATGTTAAAAATTAAAGATTAATATGTAAATTTTTGGTATATATTTTCAAATTTTTTTCTTATACAATATTATTTTTAATGTAATTAATATTGAAATACAATGTAGAAAAAATTAAAAAAAAATTTAATCTGTGATAATACTATATTAAGACACACAGTTGTGTTCCGAACGTAGTAAGGATAAATGGGTCATGTCATATTTGCTTTATTTTTTTTTATTGTACTTTATGCTATTTATCCATATCTGTATAACCTAAGTCTTTTTGTAGAAAGAGTTGATAAAAATAAATAATTATTTACTTCAAAGGAACACAGATCTATAATAGAATCTGATAATGGAAGGCTATGTAACTGTCTGCCGCTTGCTATACTCCACAATGATATATTACTACTTGATTCTATATACGCAGCGACCAGCGTGTCATTTTCCTTGTATAAATAGCAGCGTGTCATTTTCCTTGTATAAATAGCAAGATCGAGATAAAAGTTGTTAAGAATTACCAGCTTGAAATGTATGCACAGTATTACATATGACCATGTCATCATTAGATATATGCTTTTCAATAGTACACACTGTATGTCTCGCATGATTGTCTTGCATTAGGACGAGATGATATGAGACAATGATGATTCTTTTCATCATAGCGTACTGAGACAAAAGGACCTTCCAAAAACATCTGCTTTGGCAGGTACGCAGTATCCTTAATTTCGTATACATCACATGTTCTTAAACGACATGCTACAAATTTATCTCTACTGATGCCACTGACAGGATTAGATGGCACTGTTGCCATTGATACAACCGGCGACGTATCACCATAACTATCTAGGACACTAATAGCACCAGAAGTTTGTCTAATATCAAACTAGCTGATAGATCCATTTTGTGCACCAGCTAGAAAAGTATGTGGATTGTCACCTGACCAGCAACAACTCCAAAGTTGATGGTTTGTTTGGTATGTCTGCACTATCATATTGTTTTGAATGTCCATTAACTTTGCACATTTATCAAAACCAGCACTGAGAAGAAGTGTTTGTTGCGTTGAATGAAAGGTCACATCTCTCACAGCTTGAATGTGCAAATAGACGAATTGCCGCAAGTTAAAATACTCACAGTCCAACTTTCGTATACCATATTCACTAAATAATCCATTTTATGACTTTTGAGAGACAACTAACAATTTGTATTATTGATTATAATCTAACACACGGCATCCACTATCTTTGCAGATCTCCAGAGATCAGATGAGAGATTCAAGATAAAATTTTTTAGTGGAGACACTGCCCGAAGCATTTTAGTTCATTTGAATATTAATATCTGATTGTTGACTTCCCCGTTCCGCAATATGTTTATATGCCCAAATCACTTGCTGCTTAATTATTTTCCAAAAAGCAATATTTTCCGATAATTGCAACTGCAAAAGTTTTTTTTCAGCTGTAACATTAATCAACTCCTTCTTTAGTGAATCACATTCGGTAGTATCAATTGTTACCACTTTTTTTGCGTATAACATCCTAATATGTTTCACTGAAGCTTTCTTGTTACATTGCGGACAACGACGGTTTATAGCAGTACAAGATTGTTGTAGCCATCTCAAAATGCAACTATGTCCAAACAAATGTCCACAGCGTAAACAGCATAAGTGATGTTTCCCAGAATTGGTCCATTGCTCCATACAAATCGGACATGCCTGATCAGAGTCTATATCCATGGTATCTAAATTTACATCTGCTGAATTTGCTGTAGATTAAAATTTTACATTTAATTAAAGTACAGATATTTGGAGGAAATGATTATTATTACAGTATTAAACGTACTATGCTGTGAATGTTCAGTTTTGGCATCACTTTCATCGTTATTTCGTGCATTATTGTCGTTATTCAAATTTTCGTTTTCAATAGCTAGTTCTTCAATAGCTAGTTCTTCAATAGCTTCTTCAATAGCTTCTTCAATAGCTTCTTCAATAGCTTGTCGCTCTTCTCTTTGCATTGTATTTTCGTCTATAATAATAAAGTAACATACATAATACACATATTTGTAGACTATAATATGTAAATACACATGGTAATTAATAAAATTGATTGGGCATATTTTTTTCTACAAAGATAGCAATAAAAATTGTTAGAACGTAATGTATAGGTTTGTTCGTGTCGTAAGCCCCAACATGCTCCCTATTTGCTCCAATACGCTCCAATCTATAATATACGTAACGTAGTACCATAAATTAGAGCATATTAGAGCAAGTAGGAGTATGTTGGGACATGCGACGTGGAACAAACCTATATTTGTGTTGCAGGGGTAAATTATACAGTATCGCTACCTCTACTCCGATTTTGATCCACTTACGCTTAATCGACGCGTTTTTGCGTTAAATGAAACTTTTCTATTTGGAAAAAGTGGCGCTCTGCCCCGCAAAGCGAGATATTAATCGTTAAAGTTGACCACTTTTCAGGTTACGAAACCTGTCATACCGACAAAATAGTTAGTTTAGTTCAATATGATGTGCAGTGATGCAAACTCGAGCCGGCCAGCACCCAAGATCTATAATGCCCTATCTACACCGAAGGATGATCCTGCTTGTGGCTCATCCGATCACTTTTGCCTTCAGTGTGATTTTCAATGTATTTCAATGCGTCTACATTAGGCTGGCGTCACATAGAACCCGTAATCCGTAATCCGCACCGGAAGTCCGCAAAAGTTACTAGGGATTGCGTCCGTAACGTTACGTATGTTTTTTCTCCTTGTGTCCCATGGAGCCGTAAATACACACGTAACGGTATTACTATTTTTTATTTAACAAATTATAATTGTTTATTTGTATTTTATTCATAAGAAAACTACAGAATATATTATAATTTTAACAAAAATTTTAATTAAATCGTCAAATTTAGTTAAATAAATAAAATTAAAAAAGCATTACTAGTAATAACTAGTAACTTTTAGTAACTTTTACGGAAATTTCATGGAATTACGGCTCCATGGGACACAAGGAGATAAAACACACGTAACGTTACGGACGCAATCCCTAGTAACTTTTGCGGACTTTCGGTGCGGATTACGGATTACGGGTTCTATGTGACGCCGGCCTTACTCGCTCGGATGAGCCACAAGCAGGATCATCCTTCGGTGTAGATAGGGCATAAAGAGAAGGTTACCTCATGCGCAAAGAGGGCCGAGCGGCAAAAGGGGCAAATGCTGAGAGGGGCGAGCGGCAAGAGGGGCAATGATGATCTCATCGGCAAACAGAAGTTATCTCAGACAGCTACTGTTTGTCGATGAGATCATCATGCTCTCCTCTTCCTTCATCGCCCCTCGCCACAAGCTGTTTCTAACTCCCCCTTACTTCATCGTCCCTCGCCTTCAACCGGTTTTACTGAGGTAACCATGATGTAAGAAGATAGGTGTACCATTGCCGTGAATGCGCAGTCGTCCAAAGTAATGATCGCTCTTCGACCAATCAGGAATTGGTCCAAAATGCTAAAAAGTAATATGGCTGCCAAAATATGTTGACACGGTTGACACCGAAGGTTATTAAATATAATAATATTAAAAGATATTAAAACTATGCC